GAATATGTAAAAGTGAATCTTTTTTTTTTTTAAGATTTTATTTATTTATTCATGAGAGACAGAGAGAGAGAGAGGCAGAGGCAGAGGGAGAAGCAGGTTCCCCGCCGAGCAGGGAGCCCGATGTGGGACTCGATCCCAGGACCCTGGGATCATGACCTGAGCCAAAGGCAGACGCTTAACCGACTGAGCCACCCAGGCGTCCCAGTGTAAAAGTGAATCTTGATCTCTATACAATATACGAAAATTAGTTCAAAATAGGTCATAGACTAAACTTAAAAGCTAAAATTATGCAGAAGAAGACATAGAAGAAAAAGTTTTGACTTTGGGGTAGGCAAAGATTTTTAGACAGGAACACAAAAAATCCTAATCACAAGAGAAAAAAATTGATATATTGGACTTTATCAAAGTTAAAATTTTTACTTATTAAGGAAATAAAAATTAAAAAAATCAGAAAATATTCTCAAAATGTATATCTAATAATGGACTTGTATCAGAATTTGTAAAGAGCTCTTGCACCTGGCAAGCAATAAGGTTAAAAAAAATAGTAAGAGTGAAAGGTTTGGCAAGACACTTCACAAAAGAAGATATGCTTCTAAACACATGAAAAGATGCTCAGCATAATTAGCCAGCAGGTAAATAGTTATTAAAGCCACAATGGGATGGCCCCTTATAACCTCTAGAATGGCTAAAATTAAAAGGCTGACAATTCCATGAGTGAGAATGAATATGAGACTATGAATCAGCTGAAACTCTCATGCATTGCTAGTGGGAGTCTAAAATGGTATGACCACAATGGGAAACATTTTGACAATTGCGTTACAATTTTAAACATATACTCACTATGTAACCCAGCAATTCCACTTGTAGCTGTTTAGCCAGTCAAAATAAAACATCTGTCCACAAAAAGGTGATTTTTTTTTTAAATTTTATTTTATTATGTTATGTTAGTCACCATACAGTACATCATTAGTTTTTGACGTGGTGATCCACGATCCATTGTTTTCATATAACACCCAGTGCCCATGCAGTCCGTGCCCTCCTTAATACCCATCACCAGGCTGACCCCATCACCCCCTCCCCTCTAACACCCTCAGTTTGTTTCTCAGAGTCCACAGTCTCTCATGGTTCGTCTCTCCCTCCGATTCCCCCCCCTTCATTTTTCCCTTCCTTCTCCTCATGTCCTCTGTGCTGTTCCTTATGTTCCACAAATAAGTGAAACCATATGATAATTGACTTATTTCACGTAGCGTAATCTCCTCCAGTCCCATCCACGTTGATGTAAAAGTTGGGTATTCATCCTTTCTGATGGCTGAGTGATATTCCATTGTATATATGGACCACATCTTCTTTTTTTTTTTTTTTTAAAGATTTTATTTATTTATTTGACAGAGAGAGACACAGCAAGAAAGGGAACACAGGCAGGGGGAGTGGGAGAGGGAGAAGCAGGCTTCCCGCCGAGCAGGGAGCCCGATGCGGGGCTCGATCCCAGGACCCTGGGATCATGACCTGGGCTGAAGGCAGATGCTTAACGACAGCCACCCAGGCGCCCCTGGACCACATCTTCTTTATCCATTCGTCTGTTGAAGGGCATCTCGGCTCTTTCCACAGTTTGGCTATTGCAGACATTGCTGCTATGAACACTGGGGTGCATATGGCCCTTCTTTTCACTACATCTGTAAAAGACATGGTTTTTTTTTTTAGCAGCTTTATTCATAATAGTCCCAAACTAAATACAACCCAAATGTACAACGCTTGAATGGATCAACAAATTTTGGTGCCCCCAGGTGCGCTAGTTTTGACAATTGAAGGGGGCACCTGGGTGGCTCAGTCGGTTAAGAGTCTGCCTTTGGCTCAGGTCATGATCTCAGGGTCCTGGGATCGAGTCCTGCATTGGGCTCCCTGCTCAGCGGGGAGCCTGCTTCTCCCTCTGCCTACTTCTCCCCCTGCTTGTGCTCTCTCTCTCTCTGACAAATAAATAAAATCTTAAAAAAACTAGTAGGCAAAGTAAAGATATTTTCAGGAAAAAAATTACATGGTATTTCTTGGTAGTGTGACTGGGTATGAGATGAATGTACAGAAGTCAATAGTTTTTCTCTGATAATTAGCATCTAAAAACGGAAGCAGTAAAAATCATTCCATTTACAGTAGTGGGCAGCTTCACTTTGGTGCAGCTTGAGATCTGGTTTAGCTCCTACTGCCTGCCTCTTGCTGTTAGAATTGGGCTCTTCTGTTATTGCTGTGGCAGTGCCCACCACGGGAACTTGCTCAAGTTGTACAAGCCAGCGTGAGGGGTATTTAACACCCTGCAGAGCAAACTTTGGTCCATGGGAGGTAGGAGTCAGTAGATATATGCTTCCCTTTTTTTTCTCACTTCAGACTGGCGGGCTTGAGATGCATTTCATGCAATTTCTCATATTGTCTTCTGTAGCCAATTACTGGACCAACTGTCACACCACTTTTATTGGCTTTCTTTCCTTGTTATGTTACTCTGTTCAGCTCCCCATAACAAAGAATTATGTGGCCCAAAAGTACTGAGGTTGAGAAACCCTGGTATCTGAAGACAGTGGTTTGCTTTAAAATTCAAGCTCTTCAGTATTCAATCTCTGCGACTTTTAACCGCTAAGTGTTAATTTTTGTGTCTACAAAATGATAATGATGGATACATACAGAGTCCTTAATGTTTAAATGAGGATAGCTCTATAAACTTAATGCCAGGAACAAAGAAGAGTTCAGTACAGAGCAGCTATTGATATTTCTTTTTCGAGTGTATATGCTATTTTCTGACATGCCCTGAGGCATTTTCCCTGAATATGAAAACTCTTTCCTAGAGACCAAGTTCTCAAGTCCTTATAAAAAGCTATCAAAAGGGACAAGAAAATAACTTTTATAGAACCCAGGATAGAGAAGAAGGAAACAGGATTCATGTGAAGATTTAAATGTATATGTGGGTTTTTCAATTTTGTAAATTTTTAGCTGTGTTAAGATGACAGTGGGTTAGAGACTCAACATTGCAATGGAAAAAGTGGTTTTACCAGCCGTAGTTGTTGTCAGAGTTCATTGTCAAAAATTTTGAGAGCAGCAATAAGTATTATTAGGAAGCAGAAGGATACACTTTAAAATACTGGAAAAAGCAGAGGACATAGTATGTAAACACCATTAAGCACTAAACAAAACACTAAAATATATACAATAGGAAATTTAATAGTTTAAAACAATAGCCGCACGTGTGTGTGTGTGTGTGTGTGTGTGTGTGTGTGTGTGTGTGTGTGTTGTTGGGGGCTATACGGTGCATTTAGGAGGTTAAGTAGCAATCCCTGGCCTCCAGCCACTGTCTACCAGTAGTACCCACCCCCCACACCCTCAGCTGTGACAACCAAAGGTTGTGTCCAGGCATTGTTAGATGTACCCTGGGACTAAAGTCATCTTTGGATGAGAACCACTGAGATAAGCCTAGATTTGAATTCTAGCTCCAGGACTATGGCTCTGTGAATTTGAACACATTACCTAACTCCTAGAACTTAGTTTTCTCACATGAGGCAATGTATATACAATGCTTAGCTCAGCACCTGACACCAAGGACTTCGATAAATGATAGCAATTCTTATGAAGCTAAAACGTGTTCTCTTTTTTGCCACTCTGCCTCCTTATGCTCTGAAAAGAAATGCCCCTTTGTGTAGCCTGTGGTCAATTTGTTGAACAAGAATTTCTCATCTAATATCATCAAAAGTCATTGAGTTTTCACGTGGGCAGTTAGCATAGATTTTAGGTTTGCTTTCTCCCTGGCTATGGATTTGCTTTTGTTCCTTTTGTGTTCTTGTTTGACTTGGGCCGAGTTGGGAGTACATTGTTTCATTTGAGCCTCTTCCTGACATAACATTGTGTATGGTGTTCTTTGTATATTCGTAACCTCTCGAATTAGACTCAGTGTATTAAAGACTAATTCAGGTCTGTAGGAATCAAACCTATAGAAATTGGAAAGATAAGACTAAATCTTAATTGTTGTTTATTGTTATTGTTTTTGCTTTTTAACCCTGAGGCAACAGCCAATGAAAAATATTTGTTCTTTAGCTTTATTTTTTTTTTGCAAATATGATTAAAAATATTAGTAGCCTGTAATTGCTTTGATATACATTATGGCATTTAAGTTTTATTAAAACCCCAGGCAGTGAAAAGAGAATAAAACAAGATTAAGAAAGGAAACTCTTAATGTACTATAAGTACACAGCAAGACACCACATTAAGTACTTCATATTATTATCTCATTTATTTCTTAAAACTATCTGCAAAGTAAGTAGCATTATCCCTATTTTGTAGGTGAGCATCTGATCCGTTCTGATGCTTCATCTGCCCAAGATCATATAGCTGTTAACTAAATGACGGAACCACCAGAACCCAGGTTTTTATTCCGAAGTTCATCTTATTTTCATACCGCCCTGCTGTCTCCCCCAATTTAGGAGCATAGGCCTGTGCCTTAAATTTCTTTGTAAACCATGTATTTTGACCTGCCCTCTGGACCACAAGATAATAGCATAAATTGCAGAACATTGGAACTGTGATAATTTTTTTCTGTTGCCTCTAGGACTGAAGACCTGTCTTGCCTCGCCCAGCTTCTCTGGCCTCCTATGGCCTACATCTCGGCTCTTCTCCTCACTTAATACAGTTATATCTGGTTTATGGGAATAAGGAACGTTTTTAGGTTCAACCTTCTTTGGCTAAGTGAATAAATCTTATTTTTTGATTATGTGTATTCTCTTAGCTTTTACCATTTCATATTGCTCAAGAATGCAGAGCATTTAAATCTTAAGCCCTGCTGCAGTATATGTTCGGCAAGAGTCAAGCAAGTAAAAGCAGACTTACTTGAAAATTAAGAGGGCTTTATATCTAGTAAGAAAAATAGTCTGAAACTGCCATGTGATCTGTTCGTTCTGATAGACTACTGAGTAAAAGATGTTTTGAAGTCTGCCTAAAACTCTCCTTCTCGGTGTGATTTGTATTTTTAGCTGAGAGAGGAGAAGTTACAAGAGGAGAAAACCTCTGAAGATCAAATCCACAAGCTGTTATCGGAGGATACGGAAACAGGGAAAAGGAAAATGGATGACCAGAAAAAGAGAGATGAGCCATTAGTACTGAAGACAGATCTGGAACATGTAAGTACATCACTGTTTTCTGATGGACAGCTGGCTCAAAATCAGTCATTAGCCCAGGTGACACGGGTCTGAAAACCTGTGCTGGTGAGCTGTGAGAGCAGTAATAGTCGCTGACTGTGTAGTGTACCAGGAGTGAAGAACTTAGGGTCCAGATGGGAGCTGGAGAGAATGATTCATGAATGGGACAATAGAGTTGTGTGGGAAGATTAAGGGAACAGTTGGGGAAAAACGTGAGTGAGGGGAAATACCTAGTATAGAATACTACTTGTGGAAATTTGTTACGTATGTTGTCATTTTGACTTATGTGTTGTTACTTGACATTTGAGTTTTGTACATCTTATATCCTCAACTAGGTTTCCTTAAAGCTTGTATTTGATTTCCCTCTATTCTTTTTAATGCCTTAAGCAACACAGTGCTAGATACAAGGTAGGTCTTCAATATTAGATTACTTAGTTTAAACTAACTCTAATTAGGCTTCTAATCTTGCCAAATCTTGCCCGAAGTTTTTTCATTACTTATTTACCAAGCGAATTACTGGAAAAGGTTATAAGTGGTATATTTAATGTATGTAAGAAAGCATTTTTGGAAGGCCCACTGGATACTCAAATGGATAATTACAGTTGAGTTTTTTTCTTTAGTACATCATATTGGATCAGACATTTTCTATGGCTTGCTGTGTGTACTTAAGATAGCTTTAGAGTCATTATCTTTTAAACTAGTTTGTGATTTAGACTTGTTAGTATTTCAGGTTAACTTTCTAATTAGCTGGGATTAATAAAGCTTTACTGTATATAAGACAGACAACATAGAATAGGGGAAAACCAAATCTCTGCACCAGGATTCGGCCCCTTAAACAGGTCCCAGCATTGTAACAGACTGTACAACTTGGGCCAGGTTAGTTAATTTCACTGTGCTTTTGCTTCACTCTTTGCAAAGGCATTTTTCCTGAACTTGAGGAAATGAAATTATTTAAGCTTTCTTGGATCCATGGTATTTGCGCCTGTCAATTGTGTATTTTTGATCCCAGTTATAACAATAATAATTGTTATTATTTAATTCTTGTTAAAAGTAACCACTTGCATTTTGGAGGGTTTCACCCTTCTAAAAGATTCAACTTAACAAACATGAAATGCTTGCGTACTCTTAATGCTCTGTTCATTGGGAACTACAAAAGGGAAAAGACTGGAGAGGATGCAATTTAGCTAAGAAGGCAAGAGTAAAATGTGATAACTTTGTGCATACAGTGTGTTTTCTGACTAATAGCCCCAACTGTGGTCTGTGATCTCTAGACTACAACTCTGCCTCTTCACCCCAATAGGGCTGTGCTTTAGATCCCTTAGGCAAAATGACCCAGAAGGACCTTTCTCTTTAGGACAAGCCGATCTTGACAAAGAGAGCTTACCCTCCGCTGGGGTCCTTTGATAGAAAGAACCTGCTGTTTTTGGCCTTGCCAGATCCAAGTTTCCTCTAGGAAATGATCTCTAGTATTAATTCATGTCAAGGCCAGGAAATGGCTCTAATTATTTTTTCTTTTGCCACTACCAGCATTTTATAATCTTGAAAGGAATGGTAACCTAATTGTAATCTTTTTTTTAAATTTAATTTTATTATGTTATGTTGGTCACCATACAATACATCATTAGTTTTTGATGTAGTGATCCACGATTCATTGTTTTCGTAATTGTAATCTTAAAAGGAATCAGGAAGTATAAATCCTCAGACTTTTTTTTTTTTGCAGTAGTTTCACAAAATTTTATATGCAAAAACACATTGAGTGAAGTTTTAGGTTTTTGTGATTGTACCTCTTTTTCTGTTTGCTTTTGTCTTTTTTGAGGACTTTTAAAGGGCTCTGATTTTGCTTTAAATATGTCTTAAGAGTTTTTGGTATTGGAAAAAGAATTTCATTTAGTCTGCCAAGACTACATTCAAATTGGGACCAAAGAGAGCCTCCAAGAGAGGCTCAGTGGAAAGCCAGCTGAAGGATTGTATTTTATATAGAGAACAATATGATTAGAGCTGAAGTGATCATTTTACTCTCCTGCACCAAAAGACTTGGTGATTCCCCATTTCCTATGGAATTAAATGAAAATTCTTTACCCCAACATTCAGGTCCTTAGTATTGTTCTAACTGATCTTCCCATCCTTACTCATGCCCCTAAATTCTAGGGAACAGAGCTGTTTGTGTTCCCCCAAATATATAACTTTATGCTTTTCCTCCTTAGAGTCTTCGCTGTTGCATTTTCATCTAATTAAAATGCCACTCTGCTTACCTGTTGAAAGGCTACTCATCCCCTCATCCCTCCGTAGCCAGGGCGAAAGCAGTCACCGTCCTGGAACCTGTAGGGATTCCTCACTTGTTTCTCCACTCCTCCCATCTACTCTCTCCCCTCCCAACTTTGTAAACTTGCAGGACTTATTTCATTCTCCATTATGTTATGCTTGTGTACTTGTGTTTATCTACTAGATTTATAAGTTTGTTGAGTAAGGGAAATGTGTCCTAGCTATTTTAAAATCTCCCACAGTATCTTGTATATCACAAGTGTTTGATTCATGTTCATCAAGTTGAATTCAAATGGAGGGAAGAAAGTGCTTATTCTAGAGGAAGATACTACCATCTGTTGTTATCAGTTTGGAGTGGAAATAAAAGACATGACAACTTATGATTTGTTTTGGTACAGTTAATACCAGTAACAGTGTGAATTATTGGAAAACAATTTGGTATAACAGTTAGAGTCATAGCAAAGAGAAAGTGAAAAATTGCTCATCATCCAACAACTTAGAGATAACCCTTATGAACATTTTGGTAACTGTCCTTCTAGACTTCTTTTCTAAGTGCGTATAAAGAAACTTCAAATGTAAATTGAAAGACTCAAAAAGAGTCTAAAATAAAATGAAGGTAACTGAATGAGTATCGACAAGATGGAAAAAGCTGACTCTAGGGGTATTTAGAAGCCCTTGCAGAGAAAGTGGCATATAAGATGCCCCTGAAGGGCCAATGAGTATTTTTTAGGCAAAGAATGTGGAATAGGAGTTACAGGCAAAGGGAATAGCGTGCCCAGAAGAGAGACTTTGAAAGGCTATGATGGTACACGGAGAGTAGAGTAACAAGATTCTATCTGTGTGCTTGGTAGTGCGGTAGGATTAGAGGGAAGGAAGGCTGGCGAGAGCAAGACCAGTAAGTGGGTGATTGCAGCAGTCCAGGCGCGAGAGAATGAGAATCTAAGGAGAGGCGGTGGCAGTGAGTATACCTGGGAAGGCGTTAGATCTGAACGCATTTTAGGAGTAGAGTGGAACCGCCATGGAGGCAGCTTGGAGATGGACACTCTGGATTGAAGTGTTTCTTGATCCCTAGTGTTAGCTACTTATTAACTCTACAGTCTTAGGCACATTAACTATTCTGAGCTTCAGTTTGCCACCGGAAGAAGACAGGTCATCCTTTCTTAATAGGGCTGATATTAAGCGCAAATGAAATAAAGTATCGAGAAGTATTGGGTGTGTTCAGAACCTCCATACAGTGTTATTGTGACTTTGAAGAAAGGGAAAGGAGAGAGTCAGAGATGACATTGAGGCTTCCAGCCGGGTTGGTAGCGGGGCTTAGAGAAGAAAAGAGTGAATTGAATTTTGGGTATATTAAGTTTGAGCTACATTTGGGATGCCCAGATCGGGATCTCCAAGAGGCAGTTGGAAACAGGGGTGCTCCGTGAGAGACAGGGCCTACAGTAGCTGTGAAACAATAGACAAACAGACAGTGGTGTCTCCCTTGTCTCCTGCCAGTGTCCTGCGCGCCTCTCAGATTCAGAGAACGAAGAACCTTCCCGAGGAAAGATGACACAGACCCATCGCTCGGCATTTGTTTCCAAGAACAACTCCTACTCCTTAGCTTTCCTGGCAGGGTAAGAGACTGATACTGAATTCAGTCGCTTTCTTTCGTTTTGGAGTATGAGACTAAAGGGACTCGGGTGGGGAGCAAAAGTATTTGTTGCAGCCACTTTGCGGGGAGGTGGGAAAGGGGGAACGACGTGGGGATCGGTTTTCAGATATCCGTTAGGAACAAGGGGCTGATCTAAAAGTGATTTTTACCTATTTCTGGCGTCCTCAGGGTAGGAATATGCTAATTCCTGTGCTGCGAAGTGTGACCTTTCTGTCCTTGGAGGGAACCACAAAGACAGCTTCTGCTAACAATATCCATCCATTCTCTCTGTGGACTTTTTTCTCTTAGTAGGAAGTGAGGCCAGAGTTCATTTTATTTTCAACGCCTAGAACTAAAATATATCTTGAATAGGTTTCAAGAGGACAAACTGAAAGGTTTGTAAGACGCTTGTCAAGGAATTTCTTGATCCTTTAGACTTTGCAGGCTGTGGGGAGGAAAAGAGGGAGAGGAAATGGAGGGATGTTGGATGACGGAGGGAATAATGAAGGGACTGGGGGAAGGAAAAGGAAGGATGGAAGGAAAAACAGGAGAGAGGGAAGGAAGGAAGGAAGAGGGGTACATAAATAGGAGGAAGGGAAGAAGAAGTGGAGGAGGGATGGTCGGAAGGAATCATTCATTCAGCAGACATTCTGTGAACAGCTACTGTGTGCCATGCTCTCTGTTTTAATATAAAATGAAAAAACATCATCTTATGCCATTGTGTTGTCTGTTTCTGGTTAAAGCTGGCATTACTCACCCTTATGTCTGGGGTTCCTTTCCCCCTTCCCAGCAGTCCCATAAGGTAGATCTCTCTTTTTTGCTGCCCCTGTGGCCATACAGCTATTTATTTTATTCTTTTATTTTGAGGCTTTTTATTGCTAATCACTAATAAATGTGACCCCAAACAGCTTCCAACTTAAGAATGTTATAAAGTACGAAGTATTGTGATCCCTGATGCAGTTTTTATATCTGAATCTTTTTTGTATGTGTTCTTTTGGAGCAGTCTGATTTTCCTGTTATTTCTGAGAGTAACATACACTAACCGCCCACCTTCCCTTAAATGCCTCCCCTTCTCTAGGTAATGGTAACTCCTTCTTCCAGGAAGGCTCTTTCCTGGAGTATTTATTCATTCATTTGACATTTGTTTAATGGTCACTGTATTGTAGCCACTTAGGTTTGATTGATGTAATCAGAACCCAATAAGTAAGATGTAAGCCAGCATACTTTCCATTTATGGTAAAGATGAAACTCTTACCTTGTGCATGTGAGCTTGAACTGAAGATGCCCTCTAAAGTTAAAAAATTCAAGATTGCTTGACTAAGAATTTTTCAGCTGCTGATTGTATATATGGAGTTCCCCCCATTTATAGCAGGCATATTTTAATGATTATGAGAGAGATCTGCTGACAAGAGAAAAAGATCATATCATTCATTCCAATGAAGTCACAATAAATACTCCCTAAAACAAATAAATGTTGCTTTTAGACAGTCTGTGATTAATTAATATCTCATAATTTGAAATGACTTGGAAAAAAGAGAAATTTTTATTAAAATCCAAATATGATGCCGAGGCCAAATTGCCCCAATTAGCTATCACCAATTCCAATCTCTACTCTTATAAATTCATTCTTATAAAGGAGGTAGCAGGTTCATATCTCATTACTTAGAAATGCCTAGCAAGGAACTTAGAAAATTCTTTCTAAATGGTAAAACATAAAGCCTTTACGGAGGGGTTTGCTTTTTTAAATTTAAAGTTTTAAAAAAGATTTATTTATTTATTTGAGAGAGAGAGAGCACGAGCAGGAGGGACAGAGGGAGAGGGAGAGAGAATCACAAGCAGACTCTGTGCTGAGCACAGAGCCTGATGCAGGGCTTAATTCCACGATCTTGAGATCACGACCGAAGCCAAAACCAAGAGTTGGATGCCCAACCGACTGTGCCACCCAGGTGCCCTGGGGTTTGCTTTTAATTATGTGTGGTTCTGGAATCTCTATCATACATCTTCTTTCCCTGCTCCTTGGCCCACTCTTGCCCTTACTCTGTGTCATTGAGCCACAATGGGACTACTTTATAGGAAAAGAGTCGCATAACATTGTACTGTTAATAGGTGTTCGCAATTTATCTTACACATTTCAGCATTTTTTCCAAATATCCAAGGTTGCGGACTGAGTTCAGTTATTAGTACAGTTATTAGAACAATTCATTGGATTTGGTTGGTAGGCATATCTTTTTAGGACATAGTTTGCTGATGTCATGGAAACCTTAGGTCGGAAAATCGATTATGGTAATACGGTGAATTGCCTCTCTTATGTAGTCAACAGGTTTTTTCCTTAGATAAGAAAATATTTAAATTTCAGTTCTAGAGAATACTTAGAAAAACAATATGGACTCGTTTTTGTTTTGTTGTTGTTTTAAAGATTTGTTTCTTTATTTGAGAGAGAGAGAGACAGGGAGCACAAGCAGAGGGAGAGGCAGAGGGAGAGGGAGAAGCAGACTCCCTGCTGAACAGGGAGCCCGACGCGGGGCTCAATCCCAGGACCTGGAGATCATGACCTGAGCCGAAGGCAGATGCTCAACCATCTGAGCCATCCAGGTGCCCCCAATATGGACTTGTTAATGCTGAAATTGTTGCCAGGTGAATTGGGGAGACTCCAGGGCCCTAAGGCCTTGACCCAGCCCATCCCAAAGATGTTGCTGAAGGCTCTTGGTCTCCTTGCAAGAAAGCATTCAAGGATAGACCGGACACAACAGTTGAGTGTGCAAGTAGGAAAGTTTATGAAAGTGAGAGTCCACTCTTGAGATATGAGAGCAGGCAAGCTCAGGGAGAGTGCATCCTGGGTTTGGGTTTCTGTCTTTTATTGACAGTTGTTCACTACGGGGTGGAATACTTATTCCTTGGGGAGGGGATTTCTTGGGAGCAGTGTTTCATACCTTTTCTCTTTACTTGGTCAGGATCTCTGGCCTTCTTTGTCTTGGGTCCGTCTGGTTTGATCTGGCTTCTATGGCTTTGTTTTTGGAGCGCAGCCAGGATGGGTCTCTAATAGTGGTAGTGAGCCATGATGTGCGCGTCCACACACACACACACACACACACACACACACACACACCCCCCGACACACACACCCCCTCTTGGCTGACCTGTTAAAGCCTGACTAACTGCCTACTCTAACACAATGGGATGCAGCTTATGGATATATTAAAAAATAATTAGTATGGTGATGGTTGCACAACAGTGTGACTGTAAACTTCAAATGGTTAAAATGATGTCTTTTATGTTATATATATTTTACCACATTAAAAAAAAAGTCTTAGCATTTTTAATAGTTTTTGGATATTTCAAATGCATTTTTTTCCATGTGTTAAGCAACAACAGAAGAATAGGTTTTCTCGTAAGTTCTTTTCCTCAAGAGAGGTCATATGTAAAAGCTTTGGAAGTTGTTACAACTGTATTTAAATCAAATCAATCTGCATTTGTTTTACTTATCTACTTCATAAATGTTTCTTTCTTAAGCCCAAAGGCATGGAGGTAAGAGTGAGTAGGCCTGATAGATTGGTTATTTTGGAAGGAATCCATTAATCGACTCTGGCTATGAGTCTTGCCAACAACCCAGTCTCTCTTTATGTGAAAAATTCAAAGCAAAGAGGGCTTTAAAGCACTATTCCTAAAATTGTACAGTCCTATTGAAAATGAAATGCCTCTCGAGTAGGCAGATAGAGTAATAGTTAATCCAAGATCATTCCTAAGTTAATCACAAAGTATATGTTAATTGAAAAAAGTGAACTTGAACCATAAGATATATCATTGTAAAGTTAAACTTCTATTTGATATATTGAGAAACTGGTTTGTTTGTTCACATTTATTTCCCTTCACCCCTCATTCCCTTCTTCCTCACTAGAATCAAACAAAAAACCTGGTTGCAAATTCTTCCAAAACTCAGCCTGGAAAAACTTTCTCTGTTGAGGTAGTGTCTTTTCAAAAGGCTACATGTCCACTTGCATTTTCCTCTTTGCTTTCGCTATCAGGAGGTTTACAATTAGGGTTTTTAGTTCCATCATCATGACTTTCCAACATGGCCTATAATTTAAAAAACAACAACAACAAACCTTGGTTTACTTTTCCCATATTTATTACTTAATGTGATCTCTATCCTCCGTTAAGGCTGAGTCTTTATGTATTTTTGCAGTAAGTCACTATGGATTTTTCTTGGAAATAGGGCATAATCATAAAAAGGGATATAATTCAACCATCTGTCCTCTTTCCAGTTTAAAAAATGAAGAACAAAAAAATAGTAATGCAGTATTGCCCGTATTGCCATTCCATACAAAATCATATCTTACGTAAATGGCGCCTAGCAAGATTACTGGCACATGATAAGTTCAGTGACTATTACTGCCACTCTTTTGTTATATTCTTTTAAAATGTGGACTCTTAGAGCTGAAAAGGATCTTAAATATTATCTAATTCTTTTGTTTTATTGATGAGAAGACTAAAGCCTGGAGAGAGAAGATGGTTTGCCAAATCGTAGATAGCTAGAATAGTAGGGATCTGAGTTAGAATAGTTAGGGGCTCTTTCCACTCTTACCCCATTGCCCCCCATCTCCTTCGTATAGACCCCTCTGCCGCCTCTGCCTGTCTTCCCGCTGGACTTTATATTCTTTGCCAGCAGGGACAGCATCTTTCACCTTGATAGTTGCAGTGCTTAGGGAGGCGCCTGGCCTATAGGGGAGGCTCAATAAATACTTGGGGAATGTTTGAATAAGATAGGTCTTGTGCCTGTGGGTGGGTTAAACTGGAGTTTTGTCAGAATCCATTGTCAAGGGGCCCCTGGGTGGCTCAGTCGTTAAGCGTCTGCCTTCGGCTCAGGTCATGATCCCGGGGTCCTGGGATCGAGCCCTGCATCGGGCTCCCTGCTCCGCGGGAAGCCTGCTTCTCCCTCTCCCACTCCCCCTGCTTGTGTTCCTGCTCTCGCTGTGTCTCTCTCTA